GAGAGAGAGAGAGAGAGAGAGAGAGAGAGAGAGAGAGAGAGAAGTGGAAAGGGGTCACCGTGGCGGAAGAGTGGTCGTTGGTGGGAAAACATTGGAATGGCTATCAGAGAAGGTTGTTAGCCAAAGTTGAGGAAAGTGAAAGTGGAGGTAGATGTGGGGTTGGGATTGGGGTAGGGATTGGGGTTAAGGTTAGAGTTGGAAGGATAGAGATGAGTTCAAAAATGAAAATTAATGTTAGGGTAGAATTGTAATAAAAAAAAAGATAGAAGAGGTGGGGGTGTAAAGAAAAAAGGTGGAGACATTTAGGGGTGATTTGTGATGATCCAAATAAGTGCACTTTTTTACTTTTTATAAAATATGAGTTGGGTATGGATTATGTTTGAAGTGATATGACAAAGAGGTAATATAACTTAAATAAAATGATACGATTTAAATATAATAGTGACTTTTTAATTTTTAAAATTTTTTAAGTTATGACAAGTAAGACCTTAATAACCATCATATTTAATTTATTATGATATGTCTTGTAGTTAATGTACACTTATAATACCGTAAAGGGCCTTTTACGGAGGCTATCGACTTCAGCGCAAAGCCAGAAATAGAAACAGAGAATTGTGAAGAGATTGAGAGTCTTCTTATAATCCTAATTGTATATAGTAAATTTTCAGTCTCTTTCTCTATCGTGAATATAGTCATCTCACCAACCCATGTATATTTAGTATTTGAGGTGGTAGTGGTGTAGTGGGTTAGGTTTAGTGGAGTAGGTGAGGTGGTAGTGGTGTAGTGGGTTAGGTTTAGTGGAGTAGGTTTAAGTGGGTGAAGTAGGTGGAGAGTATGTGGATTTAGTGGGTTAGGTTTAGTGGAGTAGGTTTAAGTGGGTGAAGTAGGTGGAGAGTATGTGGATTTAGTGGGTTAGGTTTAGTGGAGTAGGTTTAAGTGGGTGAAGTAGGTGGAGAGTATGTGGATTTAGTGGGTTAGGTTTAGTGGAGTAGGTTTAAGTGGGTGAAGTAGGTGGAGAGTATGTGGATTTAGTGGGTTAGGTTTAGTGGAGTAGGTTTAAGTGGGTGAAGTAGGTGATAGGTTTTAACTTTGGTCCTTGAAGAACAAGATTTTTTCAATTTGCTCCCTAACCCCCCAAATAAACCGTAATCTTAACTAAAAATATATATAATTTCTTACAATCACAATTTACCACAACATCCATAAAAAAATGTGATCACAACACTTAAACCTTCACTATATTTCATTTTCCCCTCACTTCGCCTCCTATGTACCTTCCTACCATCTCACCTTCACAACCAACCACTTTAACTCCCTCACCCACCCCCCAAAATACTCGACACACAACCCTTCATCATAGACCACCTCCATTTGCAGCCCATGAAGACCCACCTACCACTGCTCTAATGCCATCTACTGTAAACCATCGCCACTTGCCACTTTTTATGGACTGATCCATTCCCCTCTAGTTCTCTTTCTTCCTTTCACTCCACCGTAGCTACCACTCGTCCAATCCTCTTCCTTACACTTTCCCTTTTCCTTTCCCTATGCCTTTCATTATAAGTCACCACCACTCTCGTTCCGCTCAACTTGGCCCTCTTTTCCCTTCAACTTCCCTTTGCTTCCATTATATCTTTTGTGGGGCCAACCCATCAGCCCCATATTTCAATTCACAATCTGTTTGCTCCTCAGTCGGTGCATTACCATTATTTTTTTCAAGTTTTACCAATATGAAATTGGTTTTTGAGATTGGATGGGTGTGAGATGAGTTATGGGGCGAGGATGCTTTTGCGATTGGATTAGGTTTGAATTTGGATTTAGGGTCCAAAGTGGGAAAACTTGGTTGTTTTTAGGGACCAAAGTGAGAAAATTTAATTTTTCAATTACCAAAGTGGAAAGCTAATTTTAAAATTCCAACATTGCCCTTTAAACATGATAAAAGTTAGCAATTGGACCAAAGTAGGAAAAAAAATGATAAATTACACTAGCGTCCCTTGAAGTTTAATGAAATTACAATACCTCCCTGAGGTTTCTATATGACATTGACCTCCTTTGTCCAATTGACATTGTCAACGGAAGGTTGTCTACTACAATTTTACCCTACGATGTGGACTTGATGCAGAGTGTTTAGCCATGGAGTTTTTAGAACTCTTGGACAAACAAGGCAAAGGCAAAAATGGCACGTGCTCAGAATGGCGTGGAATTCAACCGGAACATGGAAAATGACATCACAACCAATACCCATTGCTTCGCCATGGCCTACGATGGATTTTGGTCAAATTGCAATGTTTAGGCCCCTTCAATTCGCGATTTTGCCATTTTTGAAAATAATTGATTCGTCAATTACTCGATCTAGACAAATAGATTTTTTCCGAACTATGTATTTTTCATTATAGTTTCCAGATTTAAGCTTAATTCAAATCTTTTTATTTTTAGTAATTTTCATAATTTTTTTATTTAGGCTTGATTAGCAAGCGTTGCCTTTTCCAATTTATTTCCTAAGTTGAATTAGGGTTCGTCCTAGTATAAACCTTAGGGCAAAACAAATTTTGATATTATAAACAATTTATTGAGAGAATTCTCTTCTTTTTCCAATATTTCTAATAATCTTCCGATTCAATATATTGTAGAAGAGTTATAGCTTTCTTTGCTACGTGATTCAACTATTGTTTAGGGTCTATGTTGCGTCAGGACTGATGATATAGACATGTCGTGTCATGCCATGATGCCAACTATTTATTTCTACAATGGTGAGCCCATAACACTAGATCATTGCGTTCGGATCCTCTAGGGTACTTTTCTAGAATACGCTTTCCTGAAGTAGTACCAAAACAACGCTGTTTTGATTAGTGAATAAAAAAATTAATTAAAAAGAGAACAAAACTGGACGCTGGAGAACGCACATCAAGGAGAAACACAAACTACCTTCCCAATTTTCAGCAGCCAATCTACATTACAAGGATAAGCTCATCTCTCCATACCTCTCCATACTCTTCTTGCAGATTTCAATTCGAACCCTCATCAATGATCTGAACTGTCTATCCCGTAGGCCCCACAATAAAGGTCATCTATGCAAAGAATTAATTTCATCAGAAAATTATAAATACACAAAATAAATCGCATTTTGTTTTATAAAATGAATAGTGAATATAATTAAATTTAAACCATCTATTTTATAAAATAAAATGCCATTTGTTCCATGTTTATAGTTGTCCGATGAAGCTAATTTTTTACACGGATAACTTTCATTACGGGACGTACGAGATAGACTGTTCAGATCATAACCCATAAAAGAAATATGAGTATAGAGGGCAGAGGTATGGAGGGAGCGTATCCCACACAAACTATTTCAACTAAAATCCCACGAACCATTGGTGTCTGCAACAGTGTTTTTTTGTCCCTTGTGAAATGACTTCTATGCCCTTTGTTTTGGGGCTACAGTGCTCCTAAAGTCTATAGACGATGTTGTTAGTTATAAATAAAAAATTGAAAACAAGGCAGTGAAGACGGTGCAGAAAGAACGAGAGAGAGAGAGAGCTCCCTCTAAACTAGAGAGAAAAAACGACGGACTCGGCGAAGAAGAAATCTCTCTTCAACCAGGTTTGGAGATTCAAACTAGGGTTAATATTTTGGGATTTTGAAAAAAAAAAAGTTTTTGATTTGAGGATTTCAATTGAAAAATTAGAGTTTTGATTGAGGCATTGTGATTGTATAAAAGAAATTATATTATTGAATCTAAAAGTTTGTTTCTTGAATCTAAAACATGTGATTGTATCAAAATTAATTTATTGAGACGTATAAAATAAATAAACTAATTTTAGTGTAAAACATACACGATTACTGTAGTTTCTGAAGGCCACATTATGAATTGTTGTAAAGGAATCCTGCAAACTTTGTTTTTCTTTTATGCATATATAAAATTCAAATTTCCCTCTTGTGGAAGAGGAGTAGGACTCCAAGTGATGAAAGAGAAGGAAAGGGGAAAAAAAGAAAGTCAAAATGAAGATAATAGGATTGTAAGAATTTATGTATTATTGATTGATGTTACAAGATTGATGCTTTCTTTGCTACGTGATTCAACTATTGTTTAGGGTCTATGTTGCGTCAAGACTGATGATATAGACATGTCGTGCCATGCCATGATGCCAACTATTTATTTCTACAATGGTGAGCCCATAACACTAGATCATTGCGTTCGGATCCTCTAGGGTACTTCTTGTACATTTGTTATGTTGCATGGTGTTCGTATAGTAGATCAGTACATTTGTTATGTTGCACGGTGTTCGTATAGTAGATCAGTAGATATGAGGATTCCTTATGGGAGTTTTTTTTTTTAATGTGAATATGAGATTTTCTTTGTTTTAAATGCTTGCATTTGATACTGAGGTTACTCTTCTAACTTCATTTATGCTTGTGACGTCATGCTTTGTTTGGTTCTAGGATTTATGGAGGGAAACAAAAAGGAAAGACAAAAGAAACGAAAAATGAAGGAGAGAAGTTTTGTCTTTTGTTGGACTAACAAAAATGAGAAGAAAATGAATAGGAATTCTAAAAAAAATCAATTTTTTTGTTTAGTTAACAAATGAAAAATATTTAAGTAATTTACCTTTTATTGCACTTGGCTCAAACGACCATCGAGCCTAGATTTCGGACATCCAAAACTTTTACAGACCATGCAGACTGCTCAAGCGATTAAATGTGCGCTCGAGCAAACTGCCCTGTTTCAGTAACTTTTGAAAAATACTTTTAATTGCATACTTTCATTCTCATGATCTTTTAGGCATTCTTAAGTATTATTTAGATATCATTCAAGATGAAGTAAGCTAGAAACACACTTAAGGAAATTAGATTAAGATATAATGTTTATTTAGTCAATGTGTTTCAATGTGTATTGCTATGTGTTTTATGTAGGTTGGTCGCCCGTAGCATAACGTCAATACAAGCCCACTGTGAGTAATTTCTTTATAAAGATATGTTCGAAAAGCATTTTGAATTGTTCAAGAATGTTATTCTGAAATCTTATTTTGTTATCTATGAAAGAAGATCCTTTTTGAACTTGTAATCGTGGCATCCTTTAGTGAGGTCCTCGCCTGGGGGAAACAATACCATGGCCCATTGGATTAATTGAAACACAAGGTCTCTGATGTTAGATCCTAGTGGTCCACATTGAATTACCCATGTGGTTTTATTGATTGACCCATTGCGATCCCATTAAATAGACCTCAATGGTCCCATTGGCTTCAGCACATTGATATATTATTACTTTATTGGATGTTACCACATATAATGATTTTCTTGTTTTTTATTTTTTGATAAATGATACCACGTATAATGATTTGCATTGGTTATTGTAGAAACAGAAGATTGATATGAATTTGATATATGACTGTTATATGAATTGTTATGGTTATTGAAAAGATATGTTCTATGAAATGTTGGACTTTATTCATTAAATCCTTTATATTGATGTTACTCACTGGGCTCCAGCTCACCTCTCTCCCTTTTATATATATGTAGGTGAGCATGTGGATCGTCAAGTTTAAGAGTTGCTTTGAGAATCCACCCCTTTGGAGAAGCCGAATGGGGAAGTGCCTCCGTGATGGGGCGATACTTGGTCTTTAGAGAGCCAAGTCTTTGTCAACCTTTTGTGTAGTCTTTTTGTTTTTGCTTTTGGAATTGTGAAACAAGTTATATGTATGAAGCTGAAGTTGAATTTTGTTGTAAATATTATTATTATGGTATGATAGTGACTTATTCTATTTATGAGGTTAGCATGTAAGCACCACTCAATGGATTCATTTATATTTTGTTATTACTTCTGCTAAGCCCCGTTATTATATTATGATTTGAATTTGTTATTGAGGCCGAAGGTAATCTGGGATTACTTCATGACCTAAACCTCTAGGAGCGGGTTCAAGTCGTGACACTTTTTGATCAAGCACCTATAACTTAGTCATTAATGCATAAATGTTGCCTTGAATACAAATTGAAATCCTTGGGGTGGCTTGTGTGGTTTGATTGATTTATTTGCTTGATTTTGGTGGAAGGTGTTTGATTGAATGCATGGTGGCTAGTTTGGTTTGATCGATTTGTTTGCTTGATTTTGGTGGAAGGTATTTGATTGAAAGCACAACTTGTAGTTGGGATGATCATAAAAGATTACAAGGGTAGAGGTGGGCGTGGATCGGTTGCGGCCACGGAACCTCCAATCCGCCATCAGCTCAAGCTTGATATTCTTAAAGGTTCATCATAATTCTACACTCACCGCCTCATATATCCATATTTTGAAGGAAAAAGTTGGTTCCTCTACATGCATAGCAAAATTATGGAGTTATGGGTTCTCGTTTTGAAAATTGAAGGAGATTTTGGATCTATGGTTTGAAAATGATCATGTATTCAAGAGTTATAAAGTGTTTGTACATGTCTCCACCAACCATGCAAGCTTTGAACTTAGAAACCCATGTTTTGAGACTTGAATTCTATCCTGAAAATTCCATAATCCAACTGCATTGCTCAAGCAATGAAGTCGTCACTCGAGCGCACTTTGCATGCAACCAATATTTTTGCAGACAGATTGCCCATAGCTCGAGCGACCGTATGTCTACTCAAGCAAACTTACCTTTTATTGCACTTGGCTCCAACGACCATCGAGCCTAGATTTCGGACATCCAAAACTTTTACAGACCATGCAGACTGCTCAAGCGATTAAATGTGCGCTCAAGCAAACTGCCCTGTTTCAGTAACTTTTGAAAAATACTTTTAATTGCATACTTTCATTCTCATGATCTTTTAGGCATTCTTAAGTATTGTTTAGATATCATTCAAGATGAAGTAAGCTAGAAACACACTTAAGGAAATTATATTAAGATATAATGTTTATTTAGTCAATGTGTTTCAATGTGTATTGCTATGTGTTTTATGTAGGTTGGTCGCCCGTAGCATAACGTCAGTACAAGCCCACTATGAGTAATTTCTTTATAAAGATATGTTCGAAAAGCATTTTGAATTGTTCAAGAATGTTATTCTGAAATCTTATTTTGTTATCTATGAAAGAAGATCCTTTTTGAACTTGTAATCGTGGCATCCTTTAGTGAGGTCCTCGCCTGGGGAAACAATACCATGGCCCATTGGATTAATTGAAACACAGAGGTCTCTAATGTTAGATCCTAGTGGTCCACATTGAATTACCCATGTGGTTTTATTGATTGACCCATTGCGATCCCATTAAATAGACCTCAATGGTCCCATTGGCTTCAGCACATTGATATATTGTTACTTGATTGGATGTTACCACATATAATGATTTTCTTATTTGTTATTTTTTGATAAATGATACCACGTATAATGATTTGCATTGGTTATTGTTGAAACAGAAGATTGATATGAATTTGATATATGACTGTTATATGAATTGTTATGGTTATTGAAAAGATATGTTCTATGAAATGTTGGACTTTATTCATTAAATCCTTTATATTGATGTTACTCACTGGGCTCCAGCTCACCTCTCTCCCTTTTATATATATGTAGGTGAGCATGTGGATCGTCAAGTTTAAGAGTTTCTTTGAGAATCCACCCCTTTGGAGAAGCCGAATGGGGAAGTGCCTCCGTGATGGGGCGATACTTGGTCTTTAGAGAGCCAAGTCTTTGTCAACCTTATGTGTAGTCTTTTTGTTTTTGCTTTTGGAATTGTGAAACAAGTTATATGGTTGAAGCTGAAGTTGAATTTTGTTGTAAATATTATTATTATGGTATTATAGTGACTTATTCTATTTATGAGGTTAGCATGTAAGCACCACTCAATGGATTCATTTATATTTTGTTATTACTTCTGCTAAGCCCCGTTATTATATTATGATTTGAATTTGTTATTGAGGCCGAAGGTAATCTGGGATTACTTCATGACCTAAACCTCTAGGAGCGGGTTCAGGTCGTGACACTTTTTGATCAAGCACCTATAACTTAGTCATTAATGCATAAATTTTGCCTTGAATACAAATTGAAATCCTTGGGGTGGCTTGTGTGGTTTGATTGATTTATTTGCTTGATTTTGGTGGAAGGTGTTTGATTGAATGCATGGTGGCTAGTTTGGTTTGATTGATTTGTTTGCTTGATTTTGGTGGAAGGTATTTGATTGAAAGCACAACTTGTAGTTGGGATGATCATAAAAGATTACAAGGGTAGGGGTGGGCGTGGATCGGTTGCGGCCACGGAACCTCCAATCCGCCATCCGTCCGCCAGATTGGCGGATTGAAGAAAATCAATCCGCATCCGTCCGCTAATCTAGCGGGTGTGGATTGAACAGATTGGCGGATTAGCGGATGGATACGAATCAGTTTGGCGGTTTAAAATTTTATAATTTTTCAACATAATTCAACTTGTACACTTTCTAAAAAAAAAAAAAAAAAGTATTATAGTCAATGACTTAAAAAAGTATTACAATCATTGGATGCCTCATCCAAAGAAAGAAAGTTTGAAACTTTAGAATATGTTAAAACCTATCACCTACTTCACCCACTTAAACCTACTCCACTAAACCTAACCCACTACACCACTACCACCTCACCTACTCCACTAAACCCACTACACCACTACCACCTCCACTTCACCTACTCCTTACCTACTACACACTCACCATCTTCTATATATAAGAATCATGAATCATTGTAATAAATAATTACAAACATCAATCAATAATACAATTCTCTATTTCTCTTTATACATTAAATTTCTACAAAACAAATTTGGGACTGCTCTAATCGGAATCAAATTATTTTTTTCTGGCCTAGCTTGTGGAGGACTTCCAACAATGCAAATTATGAGTAGCAATCTTCTCAGAATGCATTTTGAAGTGAGCGCAGACCATCTTTTCCATGGAAATGAAGCCCTATTGAAGTGGATTTTTCATATGGATGGCTGCCTTGAAGCAATCTTAACCACTAATTATTTGAGAAGTCAAGCATGAAAAGGCGCTTCACCAATGATATGTGGAATCAATAGTTCTCAATTTTCTGTTTTCTTGGATTTGCTGAGGATGGTATTAATTTTTGGGTTAGAATATGTCCAAGGGAGTGGCACCTCTCTATGTGATTGTGTATATATAGAGTCACTAGGAATTCTAAAGAGTGAATTCCCTGTTTATAAGCCAAAACATTGGATATTAAGCTCCTCCTGTTCTCTTAAAAAATCTTTTCTAGTTACTGTGGATCCATATGTATAAATTTTGGCAAAATATACATTTTAAAGAGAGATATAGTTGCCCATATCGGTATATCTTTTGTGCACATGGGTCACACCTTCTTTGGTGCTTTTTAATGATATCAGTTATTAAAATATAAATAAATAAATAAAATTAAAGCAGATTTTCATTTCATCAATACCTAGAACAGTGCAAATAAATTCTTGTATTGTTATTAAAAAATGTTCAGATACAGATCGTATGGCAAAACTATGAAATATATTGTGTTCTCATTATGTAGTTTAGTCATTAAGGATAGTTTAGTCATTAAGGGTAGTTTAGGCTTATTATCTGTAATTAAGCTTTTGGGTTTTGGTTGTTGTCGACACCCCATTTTGACTGGTCCTAAGACTTGGTGACCATGCTCACATCTGAAGCTCTGGCAGCTGCAGCACTGCTTGTGCCTGCATTCGTACTACGGTTGAAAGTCCTCCTGGGCTGCACTCTGTCATTGTCAATCAGGCCCTGCTTCAAGGCGTCCTCGATCTACACCCCAATCTCATGTTGATCTGCAAAAGTGGGGAGAGGGAGGACGATCATCTTCTGCATGAGCTTGGGCTGGAGGTTGGACACAACCATCCGTATTTGATCTTTGTCAGTCGGCCTAATGGTCATCATTGACGCTTTGGCCCTCCAGCAGGTTACGAAGTCGGAAAAGCTCTCCTTTGGCTCTTGTCTAGTCATCTCGAGATCACGAGTTGTGATCTCGATCTATGTATTGTAAGAGTATTAAGCCACGAAGGCCTCAGCCATCTCTTCCCAGTTCCTCTTAACGGAGTTTTCCAGTTTTACATACCAAATAGCCGCTACACCTGACAGGATCTGCCCAAATAGGGAAAGCTTCTGCAATGTGGTGAGGCCCATCGACCTTAAGATATTTGAAAAACGTGTACTGTTACATTTATTAGTGACTCTTGTTGGTATTTTTTAATTATTTTGGGTTTCTTTTATAGGTGTGGTATTCATTGCTTTAACATTTCACTTCAGAATTTCTTAATGCAATCTTATTCCCCTTCTTCTCTTAATTTTCGCTTTGATTCCTAACAAAAATTAATAAATAAAACAATGAACAACAATTAAGGAAACTTCTACAACTTACAGCAGACACTTACAATGGGCACTAGGTTGCGTGCCTTGCACACAGCCACTCTCACTGCTATATATATATACATACGAGAGAATCATAAAAACCAAATCAAAAACCCTAATTTTTCAATTCTCAATCTAAATCCTCAATCAAAAACTTCAAATCAAAAGCCCCAAACCTGTTAATTTTTCAATTGCAAGTTGGTGGAGGAACCTGGCTTCGTCTTCTCTGATCCTCTTCGGTCTTCTTTCTCTGCGTTTTCTGTCTTCTCTCCTCTTCTTCAGCCGTCCCACTCTCTCTCTCTCTCTGTCTCTCTCTCTCTCCCCCACTCCGTTTCCATGGGTGATTTGGTATGAAATGCTGGAAACATTAAAACATATGTAAAAAGAAAAATTAGATAATTTCAATTTATTTGTCATAATTAAAAAAATATCATAATTAAATATAATATGAGATATAATTAAAATTTTATAAGGCATAATTAAAATAATATTATAATTAAAAAAATTAATTATAATTAAAAAATAAAATGATATAATTAAAGGTGCATATGATTTAAAGGGATAAGTGATAAGTGATGATGACAAAAGTCAACTATTTTCTCATGTTTTATTATAAGACCATTTCTAACTGTGAATTAAAATTTTTATTAAATTTGAGTAAAATTTGATTTTATATCGTTCATTCTAATGTTAAAATTAAAATTTTCATCAGATTTTTTTACATCTCTAGTTGTCTGAGAAAACGTCCGAACAGATGTCCTAAAGGTCGTTCGAGTATGAACAAAAAAAATGTCAAAATTACTCTTGGTGGACATCCGGAAGGATGTCCGGCCCAACGGTAAATTTAAATTTGATGAAAGATGAAAAACTCCTTTCATTTGATGAAAGTTTTAGTTTTGCCTTTATTTGATATGATTTTGGTGAAAGGGTTAAAGCACATCATTTTGGCGCTTTTCATCAAATTTCAAATTTGATGAATCATCTCATGCTGGATTGGAGATGCTCCAAGTGGGAGATTTTTGAGATTTTTATAAAATAAAAATGAATAAATAAAATTGTACTTACAAAAATAGAGAAAGTGATGTAACATGGTTTTGGCTTTTTTTCCTACTCTCCAAATAAGGCATAAAGTTTATTTTAATTATTATCAAAAGTAGTAAGATTTTGTGCAAAATAAATTAATAGATTGTAAAATATTTATAATATTAAAACTGTCTCTTAAAATACAAAGAAAGAAAAATAAATCTTACTCATATCACTCTCTCATATGCTTTTCTTTTTTACCCATCCAAACATGATAATGAGAAAACAAAATCATTTCATTTCATTTCTTTTATTTTCTTACCTAAATGAGAAACCACAATCATTTCTTTTTATTTTCTCACCCTACCATCCAAACGGATTTGTCTCCTTTCTCACTCTCTACGTTGTGATCCTTTCTTTGGTTGTTTTCTTTTCTATCGCCTTTTTTTAGTGTTGTTAATTGGATCCCCTTTTCTTTGAACCCCTTCACCTCTACTTTTTTTTTTGGGGTGGAGGGGGGGGGACCTCATCTAATCTGCCAAAAGTACCCATCTTTTTCAACCCCTACCATTACCACAAGCTTTCTACAAACAACTCTTTTTTCCCGTTTCCGGCAGTCCTTGTCAACCATCCACCACCTTTTTTTTTGGCCACACAACCATTCCAGCCCCTGTCCATCACCTCATTCGCACCTCATCACTACCCAAGTCGCATCTCTAGTGACTCTCTTGAACCCTCCATTCACGACCATCAGCCTTTTTTGCAATTTGTCTAGATCTGGTTCGACAGTCTATGACCAAACCACTACCATTTGTTCGGTATTATATGTCCAAACAACTACTATTTGTTCAATGGTCTACATTGCATATATCTAGTTCGATAGTCTATGACTGCTACACCAATATATGTTTAAACTAACACCTTTTGTTCGACATTGGTTTTTCGAACCAGGCACTACAACTTTGATCTCTCTCTATTTGTATCCCTTTTCGAAATCAGGTGCTACAAATCCTGGGAACCATGTTATGAATAAATTTGTTACATGATTGTTGTGGACTACCCAATTGTATGGTACATTGTGAACATTTACATCAAGTTAATCTCCAAATAATAAAGTGTCTTCTAGTTGTAGTTCGATTTTAATGTGAATCTTAACTATTGGTTTAAGTTTGACTATTTTGTGATGTTAACAATTTAAATGTTCATATAGACCCTCACTAATATGCATGTGCATGTAACAGATGCTGCCCCTAAATTCTGTCGAAGAGGAATAAAGAGGATTACCATATCAAAAATGATAGCGTGCTGACAGAGAGAATCACCCACATCGACAATGGTCGTGTTAACTGTTGTGGGGAGAGTAACTAGAACACTCAACCGCCTTAAAGGTTGATGATAGCTATGAATATTGAGAACAAGAACTAGAACAAAAACAAGTGTAGAGAATATATAGAGAGAACTAAACATAAAAGACACCAAGAATTTACATGGTTCGACAAAGCCTACCTCCATAGACAATCCCACAAATACTAGTTTTATAGGTAAATTACACTTCCCCTCCCCCTGTACTTTGTAACAAAGCTCACTTTGGTCCCTACACATGAAATTATAACAATCAAACCCTTGCACTTTTGGTCAAACCGTTTGTACCACTGTCGAGGCGACTCCTTCAAACCACAGAAAGACTTCTTCAATTTACAAACCAACTTATCCTTTCCAGCAACTCTAAACCTTAGTTGCACGACGCGGGCAGATGTAGGAGCGGAAGCGGGGAAGCATGAGCCGATAGAAGGTTCTTAGGTTGGAAGCGCCTCAGGGAGCGCTTATATATATATATATATGTGTGTGTGTGTGTGTGTGTATAGTATGTATATATATAAATAAAATTAATTCAAAAATTCAGCATGTATTTGTTTTTTGGATTGGCTTTATTTAAATATATTAAATTTGATGACTTACATTACTACACAAAAAATATAATAGAATCCCATTAGAAAATTCATCACTAATACAAATATCATTAATTCTTAATCATCTAATCAAACAAAAAGACTTGACAACCAAAAGAGTTCACTAATTCTCATAATTTCCAAAAAGTAAGCAACCAAAAAGAAAGTCAAAAACTAAGGTAAAAAAACAAAATATTACAATTCCATATAACAAAATATTTCTCTTATTCTGCCTTTTTTTCACTTTTTCTGTCTTTTGCCACGTGCTTTTTCAAGTCTCCTTTGTGTTGCTACTTGTTCTATTGAATGCTCTTGAGAAGTAGGAAGTGGAAATGATGAAAATGTAGGCAATGGTGTTGGAGTTGGACATGGCTGAACGTCTGAAGCTACAAGAGTGGTATCATCTTCACTGTCTGAAAGTGATACATTATCTCTTTCTTCTATTGCCATAATATCCTCTTCAATGCTGGCATCTTCTGGATGTGCATCATAATTTTTAAAATTCTCATAGTCCTCCATGTACCTTGACAAGAGTCTATGATTATAGTGCACAAAAACTAACTTTTTAGCTCGATCAACATTTAACCTATTCCTTTTCACATTATAAATGTAGGAATAGGTACTCCAACACCTTTCTGCAAAAGAAGTATTCACACTTTGAGACAACACTTTCAATGCTAAAGAGTATAATTTAGGTGCTGCCCCACCATACAAATGCCACCATGATAGTGCATCTATGGTTGCTCTGTTATTTACTGCTTGAGGTTGTGAAAAAACTCCTTTGCAACTGACAAAATCACTAATTTTTTTTCTTATAACAGCTGCTTCAGTTTGATCAGAAATCATTTTTTCCATTACCTCAAGATACCCCTTTTGCACCTCAGCATCAAAATGAGGTTTTTTCTTTCTCACACCACCTGGGGCAGATTTTGACAACCAAGAATTTTTGTAGTACTTAGGAACAAGAATATAGGCTAGACAATGCAAAGGAATGTTCATCTTATCCCATCTTTCCACCACAAATTGATGTATCAAATCATAAACAATAGGATCATTTGAATGAGTATCCTTAATGTTCCCTAATAGAGTATCCATCAACTCATAAACCTCTCTAATCACAGCCTTATCAGAATCTGAAAATCTAAGCATCTTATAAATGTGTTTTGTGATGGTGAGGACTCTTTTTGCTTTTCTCCAAAAATCATCATCCATAATGGTTTGGGGGACAATGTCATGCTGATGAGGAAATGTACTCCAAAAATCATCATCCATAATGGTTTGGTGGACAATGTCATGCTGATGAGGAAATGATGTATTTTTTCTCAAATTTTCCCATTGTTTGCTTAGAGCCATGGACAACAAAGCAGGTATGACTTTAACAAGACGTTGTAAAACAATGAAAAGGTGCCCAAACCTAGTCTTCTTTACTTTGGGAAGATCCCGACTGGAAAATGTTTTGAACAAGTATTGACAAGAGCTATGGTTTTTTTTTTAATGTATTTTACCACTTTTTTACCCCTCTTATACAATTCATTAACAAATAACAAAGTTGGATCCTCGCATTTGGCTATGTCTTTCATCAAGAGATTCAAAGTATAGGCTAAGCAACCTGACTAGAATATATGGGAATACTTGTGCTGAATTATTGCTCCAGCTGCCTTGCAATTAGTGGCATTGTTAGTAACTACTTGGACCACATTGGAGAGTCCAACAAATTCAATTGCTTTAAACAACAAATCAACAATATTTGTTTCATTTTTCTCCTTTGAAAAAACGTCATATCCATTAATAAAAATGGCCTTACCACCAAAACAACCATGATGTTAATCAAAGTTTGATTCTTTAAATTTGGCCAACCATCAGAAACAATGGAAACTCCATATATGCTCTAATCTTGTATTAAAGGGTTGAGGATTGTTGAACTTTGCTTGGTTCTTTGTCCAACAAGCTAGTCCTCACCTTCTCATAATTAGGAGGCTTGTACCCTTTTGGAGCATTATTAATAGTAGTAACCATATCTGCCCACCATGGAGACCTCACAACATTAAAAGCAATGCCATTGCTATAAAGACACCTAACAACCGTTCGGTCCGCTTCTTCTCTATTTCTTATATGAAACATGTTGTCAATTGAAACTGTGACTGAGCGTGGCACATCAGAGGACCTAATAGTTTGAGATTGTACCTGTGATGTTAAAGTGGACCTAGGAAATTTTCTGGCCTTGGCATTTCCCAAAAACAGTCGTTGTGCATCTAGTTCCTCTTGTTTTAGCAACTCCCTCTCAATCTTGTTCACCTTTGGACATAGTTGTATACCTTGAGCTCGTTGGCTGGTAATTTTCCTATTAAGTGTGCACGAACTCGAGAATAAGAACCAGTATAAGCCTCCAATTTGCAACCAAAATAGCATATAAATTTTGTAGAGCCACCTCCACCTTTGGAATTGGGTGATTCATCAAAAAATTTTGTGACATATTTCCAAAGTGGAGTAGCAGTTGGCTCGTCAACATCCTCATCTTCCACAACTTCTTGAGAGTTAATGCTTTGGCTTAAATCCATTCAAAATTTGTAGTGTGAAATCATTCGAGCATACAACAGATTAGAAAAAATAACTAAGAGAAAATAAATAGAAATGGAAACCAATAGAGAAAATTATGAATGTACATGAAATGGCGTGTGCCTTAGAAACCAAAATCACCTTGTTTGAACTCTTCAAGCTCTGGTTATATATTTGTCTATACAACTTTAACTCCACTTTGAAGATGTTGATAGTTATATAGAGTTGGCGGGGGTAAGGATCAGAGAGATTTTTTTTTTTTGAGATACACCTACTAGTTATCGAGAATAGAAAAATACACCATCCACCAAAATAATAATAAAGGTCTCCTCACTGTATAGCTGATAGCTTGTCATGCATTAAATGCTCGTGCATGCCTGTCATCTTGGTATGGTGGATACATTGAGAGTAGAAGAAGATCAAAAGTCTTGCAAAAGAAATCATTTTATTTGTACATTGGGAGTAGCATGACCAAAAGTGTAGCACAAGTTTGGTAATCATTAGCCCCCAAAAAATTAGTTTGGTTTAAAAAAATAGTTTGGTTATTGAAAAATAGTTTGGTTTCATGTTTATCTTGGCACGTGGTTATTGGTGATGTGCAATGCTTCTAATGCCTACACTTTTTTTATGGACATTTATAGTACGATAAAATTCAAAATTTATTATATTTAATAATTTCAACAATATTACTGTGTTTTAATTTTGTTTTAATTTTTAAATTGTTGTAGAGATGTGTTAATAGTAAAGGTGACAATGGTGGTAGTAAAGATGAAAGGATAGCAGTTATGGTGATAATGATGGTGTTGTTGGTGGTCACTGGTGGTAGTGGAAATAGAGTGGTGGTGGTGGTGGTGGGATAGCGGTTGTGGTGGTAACGATAGTGTTGATGGTAGAATGGTGGTGTAGTTGAAGTAGAATGGTGGAGTGGGGGTGGAGGTGAAATGATAACGATTGCAGTGGAAAGGATAGTGTTGTTGGTGGAAGGGTGGTGTAGTGGAGGTAGAGTGTGGTGGTGGTGGTGGGGGTGGAGGTGGAGGGATCACAGTTATAGTGGTAACGATAGTGTTGTTGGTAGAAGGGTGGTGTAGTGGAGGTAGAATGGTGGTGGTGGGGGTGGAAGTGAAGGGATAACGGTTGTAGTGGTAACGATAGTGTTGATGGTAGAATGGTGGTGTAGTGGAAGTAGAATGGTGGAGTGGGGGTGGAGGTGAAATGATAACGATTGCAGTGGAAAGGATAGTGTTGTTAGTGAATGGGTGGTGTTGGTGGTGGTAGAGTAGTGGTGCTGGTGGTGGTAAGACAGCGGTTTTGATTTTTGATTTGTCTTTTTTGGACCTTTTTCAAATATATATATATTTTTTCAAATTTGTCTAGTCGAGTAGAATATAAAAGTGTTGATTTTTTTAAAAATTAAAAAAATAATAATTTGCATATAAAAAATTACTCTCAAATATCCACTAAATTTGGATTGCTTAGGCGCAATTATTTGGTTATCTAATGTTTTTCAAAAAAATGCCATATAATTCACAAGTGGGCAGGAATAATTATTTGACCCCAGCAACTTTGACGCTATATATGATAATTTATGTACAAATGATAAAAATAATTTAACTTCATTTTTTATTTCATTAAAAAAAATGTATCATATGTGATGATATTATAATGTAGTATAACAAAATAGTACTATAATTATAATTAAAACATATTCATATACAAATCATATAAAAAAACACTACAATTATTTTTGTAAATATAAATTATATTTTGAGAGTTTTATTTTAAAATGAATAGTAATCTTTCATCTTTTCTTTTCATCAAATTTGAGTAAAAAATTAATTAAAAACTTGATTTAATATAAAATACTTCAATAATTAGAGACTATGCGTGTTTTTAATATAAATAAAAAAAATATATTGAAAAAACAAACACTCTATAATTATTTATTTAGATTAAAAAAAGCAGTCTTTTTTTATTTAGATTAAACATAATTATTCGATCTCTCTCTCACTAAACATAATTATTTAATCTATCTCTCCCTCTTTCTCTCTCTTTTTCTACTTACTCTCTTTCTCTCTTGTCTCCCACTCATTCTCTCTCCATCTACCCCTACTCATTCTCTTTCTACCTATTATCTCTTCCCCACTTGCTAACTTTCTATCTCTACATCTTCCCCACTCATTCTCTTTCTCTCTCTCTCTCTCTCATTTCCTTCTCTCATCCTCTCTCACCTCTAAACAAACACTACATCTCCTCTCAGATCTCAAATAACAAACCCTTTATTTCCTTTGTTCGATCTTCCTCTTCAATGGTGGTGGACAGTCGCGGAGCGGAGGCAGCGATGAGTCCCTTCTTTCTCGTTTATGCTTTCTCTTATTTTTTTCACTCTATTTTCTCTGACATTTGTGATTTGATTTTGGTAAATAGTAAGAAATTAACACCTATTTCAAAAGCTTTTCAAAATTATAAAAAATCAACACTCATTTCCCATTAAAGAATTAAATCCATTTCAAAACCCATTTTATGAAATCAAAACCCATATTATATATATATATATATGTATACGTTATAAATGAAACAAAATATCAGAGAGCAATAAAGAAGAGAGAGAAGAGAGAGAGGCGAAGATCAAGAGACAGAGACCGAGAGATAAAGGAAATGAGAGGAAGATCGAGAGAGAGAGAAAGAAGATCAATCGACAAGGAGAAGAAGATTGACAGATCGAATGAGAGAAGAAGACAAATCAAGAGATTGATAGAGAGAAAAAGACAGATCGAAATGGCGATCGCAATCATTTCCTTCTCCGCCAGATTCGCTTCTTTCTTTACTGTAAGTTCCTCATTTTGTATTTTTTGCTTTTCTTCTTGTATTTGTGATTAAGATCCATACCCAAAATCTGATTCAGATCCATATTTTGAGTTTTATTTATTGCTTCTGAGTTGTTTTATTTCCACCAACGATCCCATCTTGGACAGGATTGTGTTTCTCTCTCTACAAAAATGAGATTCTTACATGTTTCTTTCTAAGAAACGTGGAATCACGTTTCTTACAAAGATTCGTCACTTTGTTGCACGATTCCTGCAACTAAGCTCAAAACCCTTTAGGTTGGGACAAATATATTTCTTCCTCAGAGTCACTATGTAATATGGTCGTCTTTACATCGAGTTGAGCTAACTCGAGTTCTAACTATGCAACCAATGCCAACAAGATATGAATTGAAAAATGCTTGACCACTGGTGAAAACGCTTTATTGTAGTTAATGCCCCCTTTTTGAGCATATCCTTTAGCTACTCATCTTGCTTTGAATAGCTCTATATCCTTTGACATTGGATCATCCTTCTTGGTGAATACCCACTTGCAGTTGATTTCCTTCTTTCCTCTCGGAAAAGGAACCAAGTCCCAAGTCTAATTTTTGTGAAGAGACTAAATCTCTTCACCCATAGCTATCTGCCAATTTTTCCATTAAAGAGATTGCATGGCTACCTTGTAGGTAGATAGGATATCATCCCCAATTATTGGAAAAGAAGATACCCCTTTTGCACCTCAACATCAAAATGAGGTTTTTTCTTTCTCACACCACCTGGGGCAGATTTTGACAACCAAGAATTTTTGTAGTACTTAGGAACAAGAATATAGGCTAGACAATGCAAAGGAATGTTCATCTTATCCCATCTTTCCACCACAAATTGATGTATCAAATCATAAACAATAGGATCATTTGAATGAGTATCCTTAATGTTCCCTAACAGAGTATCCATCAACTCATAAACCTCTCTAATCACAGCCTTATCAGAATCTGAAAATCTAAGCATCTTATAAATGTGTTTTGTGATGGTGAGGACTCTTTTTGCTTTTCTCCAAAAATCATCATCCATAATGGTTTGGTGGACAATGTCATGCTGATGAGGAAATGATGTATTTTTTCTCAAATTTTCCCATTGTTTGCTTAGAGCCATGGACAACAAAGCAGGTCTGACTTTAACAAGACGTTGTAAAACAATGAAAAGGTGCCCAAACCTAGTCCTCTTTACTTTGAGAAGATCCAGACTGGAAAATGTTTTGAACAAGTATTGACAAGATCTATGGTTTTTTTTTATGTATTTTACCACTTCTTTACCCCTCTTATACAATTCATTAACAAATAACAAAGTTGGATCCTCGCATTTGGCTATGTCTTTCATCAAGAGATTCAAAGTATAGGCTAAGCAACCTGACTAGAATATATGGGAATACTTGTGCTGAATTATTGCTCCAGCTGCCTTGCAATTAGTGGCATTGTTAGTAACTACTTGGACCACATTGGAGAGTCCAACAAATTCAATTGCTTTAAACAACAAATCAACAATATTTGTTTCATTTTTCTCCTTTGAAAAAACGTCATATCCATTAATAAAAATGGCCTTACCACCAAAACAACCATGATGTTAATCAAAGTTTGATTCTTTAAATTTGGCCAACCATCAGAAACAATGGAAACTCCATATATGCTCTAATCTTGTATTAAAGGGTTGAGGATTGTTGAACTTTGCTTGGTTCTTTGTCCAACAAGCTAGTCCTCACCTTCTCATAATTAGGAGGCTTGTACCCTTTTGGAGCATTATTACTAGTAGTAACCATATTTGCCCACCATGGAGACCTCACAACATTAAAAGCAATGCCATTGCTATAAAGACACCTAGTAATCGTTTGGTCCACTTCTTCTCTGTTTCTTACATGAAACATGTTGTCAATTGAAACTGTGACTAAGCGTGGCACATCAGAGGACCTAATAGTTTGAGATTGTACCTGTGATGTTAAAGTGGACCTAGGAAATTTTCTGGCCTTGGCATTTCCCAAAAACAGTCGTTGTGCATCTAGTTCCTCTTGTTTTAGCAACTCCCTCTCAATCTTGTTCACCTTTGGACATAGTTGTATACCTTGAGCTCGTTGGCTGGTAATTTTCCTATTAAGTGTGCACGAACTCGAGAATAAGAACCAGTATAAGCCTCCAATTTGCAACCAAAAT